AATCTCCAATTAGCAGTAATAGTGTTTACTGATGTATGAGTGTTTCAATAATATGAAGTTTTGTATTGTATTTAGGATCCCAACGACAAGAAAGTCATCATATGTGATGAGAAGCTGAAGAAAATATTTGCTGGAAAGGAACGTGTGGGATTCCTCGAGATCTCAGGATTGATCACTCCACACTTGCTGTAGCTGTTCAATTCTAGTCAGCAAGGAATTGTCACTGAGGCAGCTGTGTACTTAGTATTTAGTTTTTAGTAGAAAGTTGAGCTGCAGAGCTTTGCATTAGATGTGCCCTTTTGCTGCTTTTGGGTTTTAGTGTTTTTTGCTAAGTTTTGACTTGCAACTCAGTGAATTTGCTACTCCAGGTGTTTGTTTCTTTTTCAGACTACGATCAAGGGATTTAGGTATTCGGAAGATGATTAGATGTTCAAGCCTTTTCTGTTCAAATCCAGGGACATCATATAATTCTGAAATGATCAAGATCATTAATCTAGTATTTTCTGAAGTTCTTTGTTGATCATTTTCATTCTTAATTTCTTATGCTTTTGCGACTTAAGTCCCAAATCTCGACCAAGTGCCACTTCTGCTAAAGTTTTAAGTCTTAACCAGGGACTCAGGGTGCGTTCTTTCTTTCATGTACATTTTTAACTCTGAAAGCAACTGTGATCGAGAATTAGTTTTAAACTGAAGGTAAGTTTTGCAGCTCACCAAAGGTAAACTCAGAAATATGCACAAATTCCTCTCCATGCTCTGTGGAGGACTTACTCCAAGGGGTAGCAACCTTTTTTGCGTGATTTGCAGGCTTGGTCAGGCTAGCCGCTCCGGGCTAACCAAACATTTTTGCCTTGGCTGAAATGGAGCTCTTAATCTAGTCGCACAAAACATTTTTTTTTCCCTCCCAAATACATGGACTTGCAGGAGTGCAGGACTGCATATTATATTGTTATGGCTGTCAGGTTAAGTTTTGTCATTAGTCTACATAGATTTTGCTGTCTAACTCAGGCTTATATTTGATTAGTGAGAAACATTCTCCCTTAATCATGCTTTTTATTCCTAATCTCAAAGACTATCCTCACGCTGTGAACCATTAGCGCGTTGTTCAGACAGATGGCATGATTAGAACTGATTAACTTAGATCTAAGGTCGCAATACTTTTAAAGAAGCTGAAAAGAATACTTTGGCTTTGATTACATACAAAGTAAATTAAGATAAAGTAAAGCACACACATTTAGCCACTTTCTCTTACTTAGACTTTAAACCCTTTACTAATTCTGTATGGCAGGCAGCCGTATTTTCTCGAGACAATCACAGTTGTACTTGGAACCTTATATTTTGGTAACTTTTGGGAAATTTCTTACGAGTATTTGATATGAGTGGGAAGCTACTAATTAAATTAGGTTTTGTCATATTAGTGACATGTGATTAGTGATTGGAAGAAAATTAAAGGTGGAAATGAAGCTGCTATTCTCGTTGTCATTTTGCGTCTTTGCATATGGGAGTAATCATAACACTCATGATATCTGAAGTTAAATCTCTTTGTTATTGCACCTAAGAACTCGATCATCCTGCAAATCTGGTTTTTTAATGTGATGGTTTGAATTTTATGAACACACTCTTGTTGTTTAACTCAGGCTGTTATAAGGTATCTTTTAATTGCAGTGGTAAAAGTCGGCAACAAAAGTTTTCTAGTAGGCAAAATTAGTAAATAAATAGCTGTCCAAGAACACAAAAGCACCTCAGCTTATTAATCAATTCAAACCTCAACATGTATACTCGTAGTGTACGTTACTCATAGTGTACGTCTTATACTGTAAATTATGATCTCCATCATACATTCGAATGTAATTTTACCCATATTATACGTTACTCATAGTGTACGTCTTATATTGTAAATTATAATCTCCATCATTCATTCGGGTGTAATTTTACCCCTTAGGCAACGTTATGCTCTTGACCACCTTTTGCACTATGTGCATGACTCAAATCCTCGTGGAGGGTTATTTGCTGATGAGCAGGTCTATAAGTTTAAATTCAAACCTTATTGGAGGACATTAGTGCTAGCAATACCAAACAATAATACTTTCAAAAAAGTTATAGCTAGCTAGGTCATGTTTGAGTCAACCATTTGTATACATGATTAAACTTTATCCAAAGTTCTCGAGCTATAACCCTTTAGGGTGACGCAGACATCACTTTGCCTTTTTAAAAATCCTATTGCATGAAAAATATCATTTAATACAGCTTATAATTAATAAATTATATACCTTTCTTGTTCTACCAGATTAACTAATCAAATTACATCATTAAAGTTAAACCATTGCCTTATACACCAATATTAATACATCTACTCTTCAATCACTCCAACTAATCATACCTCTTTCATATTTTCCACCCTTCAAATATAAACCAAAAAAACCATATAATAAGGTATGAAAATCAACCCACCTGAAAAATCATGCAAAAAATCCTATTGTTTTTTCTGTGCAATGAATGAACCAAACCCACTTCGTAGAAGTAAAAAAGTAGCCAAATGTTTCAAAGAAATGCCATTTATAGATGACCAAGAACATGTTTTGGTGTTGAGCAGTCTTTGGAACTTAGCCATGAACCAACCAAATGATCCAGAATTTCCTTCCCTTGGGATTTTCCAATGCATGTCCAACTTTATTCTTAGAGGTCTTAATCATAAAGATTGGCTTCTTAAAGATCAAAACATATATATACCATATTATGCAGCTCATATAATAGGGTCATACACCATGAGCCAGCCTAAATTTGCAGAAAAAGCAGCAAATTCTGGTGTAATTCCACCACTGTTGGAGTTGCTAAGAGGTAAAATCAGTTGGGTTGAGCAGAGAGTTGCGGTTCGTGCACTTGGCCATCTTGCAAGTCATGAAAAGTCATTCAAGAAGCTCAAAGATTATGAAGGGGAGATAGTTAAATTGTCCATGAAGATGGCTTCTAGTTGCTTAAAAATTGTATATGTCAGTTTTGTCAGAAAATCAGAATCAGAAAGGTTGAAGTATCAGTGTGATTTGCTGACAAGAGGAGTTGGAGGGTTCGAGTTTGAAAATCGAAAGGCGGAAGAGTGGGCTAGTCAGCTGCAGTGTTGGTGTCTTTCTCTGTTAGACTGCTTTGTGAAGAGAGAAAAAGGCATAAATCTGATATGCTGCAATCAGAGTTTTCTGAAAGATTTAAGTGTGATGTGGGGTGGTTTAGTTAACAAGAAATCTCCTTCAGGTATTGGTCTTATAAGAAGTTTGTGTCATTCAAAAACTGGAAGACTTAGTGTTGCAAGTTCAAAAGAAGTCATTTTAAGCCTTTGCAATACAAGCCGATCCTCGGATGATTGGCAGTACATGGCTATTGAATCCCTCTTGCTAATGCTCAAGGACTCGGATACACGATACAAAGTTATAGATCATGCAGTTCTTTATCTTAAGGATTTGGTAGAAATTAGGAGTGTTAAGGGGAGAAAAAAGATTGGGGAGATGATTACACAAGTTTTGTTGCAAGATTATGGGAAGATTAAGTATGGTCAGTTGAGATTAAGTGAAGAAGCTGAAAAGGCATTGGAAGAAGTATGGGATGTTAAAGTTGACAAGAGGAAAAGAGAGAAATTGTTAGGTGATGATGAGATTAAAGAGAGGAAAATTTTGGCAACCCAAATGAAGAAAGAAGGGAATAAGTTATTTTGGGAAGGGGATATTGAAGGAGGTTTGTGTAAGTACACAAAAGCCTTGGATTTGTGCCCTTTAAAGTATAGAAAAGAGAGGATTGTTTTGTTTAGTAATCGAGCTCAATGTTATTTGCTCCTTAAAAAGCCAGAAAGTGTACTTAGTGATACAACAAAGGCGATATGCTTGTCGAGTAGAGTTATCAACAACAACAACAACAACAATCCACATAGCAAAAGCCTTTGGAGGAGATCACAAGCTTATGATATGTTAGGATTCGCTAAGGAAAGCTTGATGGATTGTTTATTGTTCATTCATTGCAATAAGAATTCTAAGTCCAATGGAAGGAAGCGTTACAATGTCCAGTATTATGCAGCTCGTTTAATAAGTAAACAGACTTGCGCTACTTGGCTCTTCACTGGTCTTGATTCTACTTCTCAATGTGATCATCTTGAAGAAATAATTCAAGAATCAGATGATGGTAAGTAGCTAAGATATGTTTTGTTTTGTTTTGTTTTGGGGACAGGTTAGCTAAGAGCAAGTTAATAATAGCCATATGTTTATGGAATTTTGTTGATTTTGGTAGGAAATATGGTGCATTGATTCATTAGGTATAATGGATTCAATAATTGGTACTTTATAATATTAATTTAGCAAAGTGGATTTTTTTGTTCCTAATCTACGTAATTCCAAATTATCCCTGCTTTTCTAGCTCTTTTTTGTTGTTTTTTATTGGTAGTATTCTACTGTAATAGATTTGTGAGATTTCTAGTCTTTTGTAGATTAGACATTCCTGTTGAAAGTAAAAAATGCGACCAATATAAATTAGGATGTAAATTATTGAACTAGATTTCGTGCTATTTTTGTGGTGTCCTGTTATTTGACACAAGTGACATTTAGGAAGATAAAATTAGTTATTGAACTAATCCAAAGTTAAGCTCAAAAGAAGGTTTATTGTAATTGTTTTCAAACAGTAGTTTTTGGTATATGCTTGTACTATGCAATTTCCAAGCTTCTAGCCAACTATAGCTGATGTTTTGCTTGGAACTGTTAACTCACCAGAAAGTTGAATAGACTCCATTTTAGACTCTGTATCGATCCCTTCGTACGCTAGATCATCATCATGACCCTGTTCCGGACTTTCGATGTTCCCCTTAGACTTTAAACTCTGACTTGGTAAACAAACTATGAACATATGATTTTCAGAGTTCCAAAGCCAACGGCTTTACTTTCTCAAAACTCAAATTGTTGTATATCAATTTCTGATTCCAATATTCTGTAAGTTGTAATTGTGGAGAATAAGTGTTGTTTGCAAGTTTATTTAAAAACAAATTCAATTTAATATACAAAGCATATATGCAATCAGCTAAAAGATACGGAGTACAAGAGTTTAGAAAGTTGGAGGAATTGAACATCCCACACAGAATCAAACTATCACTATCCCCTACAGAAAAAATACAAAATTTATTGGGAAAATGGTGCAACTGAGAAAAGAACATATCAAATATGGAAAAAAAAAAAAAAAAAAAAAACTAATGTACAACATACAACAGTTTAAATAAATAAGATAACTGTGGTCTGTTTTACATCGATCTCAACCACGGCTCCTTTTGCCATCATACGGATCCATGCTACAGCAGCATTTTCACTGCATGCATATAAACAGGTAATTGTGAATAACATCTTCAAGCCACTTTTAAATGCCACAAGAGGATAGGGTATAATGTGAATTTTCGACATCAAGAGGATCCTCATTACACAATATTTTTAAGGAAAAACTTCCAATTAATAATCTCAAAAGGAAGACAGAATTCAAAGAATTTTGTAGTATAGCATGATGAAACTGTGGTCTTTCTAAATTAGTAGCAGAATAAAGTATGACTATGAGTGAGGGAGCAAGTCATATATACTTGCCAGCCTCATTTCAAGGTCCTGTTAGAAATCAACCAATGAAGGGAGGAAGGGGTCTCTGCGCCATTTCAATTACCTCTTCACAAATTTGAAGATATCAGTTATTGTAAGTGCTGAGAGAAGCTATGACAGACCCAGTAGTTGAAAGGGTTGATGCAACATCTGGGTATTCTTTCCAAGATGTTGTCGCCTTAAGATTAGGATACAGCCATTTCTTCACAGATTCCACAAAGGAGTCAGGATCGAAAGTAAGAATAGCTTCCCAGTCAACTAGCATTCCTTCTGGAATACTTCCCGAGAACTCCATATTTGCTGCAAGACACAATCCCAGCAAAACTACAAATCCAACCACAGCAGAACCTCTGGAAAGTGGCATGAAATTATACCTGCATAGGCATATCAAAACCAGTGATGAAATTTTAGTTAAATCCTCTATATCAATATCATAATCTACATAATTAGAATACAAGGACATTTAAAAGCACACCTTGTTAAAATTAAACGAAAAACAAAAGAAAAGACAAGGAAGCAAAAGGCAAAAGTCCTCCCATCCAAACAAAACAGACAGTAAACAAACTAATCAAAGACCTATTTAAAAAAAATAAGATGAATTAAAACGGGCAGCACAAAAGAAGATATCATAGCTACTGCAACAATTTGAACACAGAAAATGTAACACAAATAAGCAAGCAATTGTCATACCAGTAGTATGTCATCCTTAAAATTGCATCTCTGACATTTTCAAGGGCATTGAAATCAGTAGAACCATAAGCCTCGCCACAATATGCATTGCACAAAGCCTACAAGCACAGTATTTAAGATTTTTTACATCAGGGAAATAGAAGCAAAACACGCGAGAGCTGTTTCTAATAAATTCTTAAAAAAGGTGAAAAAAGACAAGAACATAGTTATGATCTAAACTGTAAGCCAAAAAAGTTGATTTAATCCATAGTACCAACAAGCCACAAACTCCGTATTTTTTGCCAATAAAAGATTGACCAGGTTGGATCTTATGTTTCTAAATGTAGCACAATATGGTATAATGTTACAGGATCATACATAGAGATTTAATATGTGCCAAATAGTGTCATACTCAAAACAAGCAGAGACTATAAACTTTGTTTCCAAATAGTGTCATACTCAAACAAGCAGAGACTATGAACTTTGTTTCCAAATAGTGTCATACACATTATGTTTCACCAGAAGACTACCATTTGATTCAACGAGAATTATAAGGAAAAAAAAATCTCGAAAATAAACCATCTGTTTCTTGAAAAAAGACCTCTGTGACTGTGAAGAGGCTCAAGTTCTCAAGATTGCACCCCAGACAGAACTACTAAAATTGAGGTAACAATAACAGCAGGGTAAGTAAATCAAACTATATAATTTACAATGAATTTCATAAACAAGGTGCAGTAAAAATTGTGTTTGAAAACTACTGATAACTAACAGCTTTAGAAGATACATGGACAAATCCAAAGGCAGAACTGAACAAGGAAGAAGGAAAAAGAACAGATGACAGGAGTACATAGCATTTATACACAAACCTCCCATGCCATTGCCATTTCAGCATCAAACTCATTCCACCTAGAAGGTGTACAGGGTGTTCTTATTGCAAAATCATATCCACGTTCTCCCCTAAAAAGACATCACATAAAGGCAAAATTAGTGTTGCAGCAACTTATTGCTTAGAGAAAATACAGTGAGCCAAATATATCAGACTAATCATGCAAATCAAAGAATTCAGATCATACGATTTCAAAAGGGTGATTCTTGTCCCCTCCAACTGCTTTCTGAGAGAGGCAAACAAGAAGAAGTCAATTTGACCATAAATTTCAACTACAATAGTGAACCTTATCCTACAATATTAATGAAGATAATGAGAAAGGGTAATGAAGTCTACATAGTCAGAGGAGTTCATACATGTAAAATTGCGTTAAAGCCATATAATTATAATCACAAGCATATACTTACCCCTCAAATGCCATACTGTCGCACCAAGTAGACACCCAGAAGTCCTCACCAACAGCTTTGTGTAGATCAGAGCAGGAATCAGCAAGCATAATCTGCATATAGTTGAAAAAGACTAGATTCAAAAGGCACAACTAGAGGACAAAACTATTAAGCATACAGAAAACGATGTGGATGTAAAAAGCAGAAAGCTCAACTAAATGAGCAGCTGATACTTATCAGGAACAGACAGCAGAATATAAACAAATGAGACGTGATCGCATACTGAATTACATCCTATTAAAATTTGTGTAAGGGGGAGGGGAGTTTTGAAATTGGATGTGAAAATCATTTAAATGTATGTATGTCTCCCAGAACTTGCAAGAACTTATTCATATCGTATTGTCAGCAATTCAGCACTGTTGTTTTTGTGACAAATAAAATATTGCTTTATATTCAGAGAATCTTACAGATTTTAATAGATCAATATAATGCATGTCATTTGGCAAATGGAGCAGAAAGATTTCCAGTCATAGTTAGGGGTGTCACTTTACAGCAATACTCCGTTCTTAGAAGTTATATGTATTTTTAAGTAATAAAAAAAAAAAAAAATTACAATGGGATTTATATATTTTAAGTAAAAGAGAGAGTTTCATATTAGATGAGGAAAATAAGGTTAAATAAAAAAAATAAAAAAAAATTAGACCAAACCTTGTCGTTTTATTACAATTTTTCATATCCTTAATTCTGTGATGAAAAGAATTATCAAAATTACATTTTTGGAAAATACATATTAATACAAAGCTAATTAGATTTCATTTGATAAATTTTTCTTAATGTATTAGCGTATGTATAAGGTCAAATTTTAGTCAAATTAGGCAGTAAAATCAGATTAAAAAAAAATAAAAAGTTCAGATGCGATCAGATAAACAAAGATAAGGTGAACTAAACATAGCCTTAATAATACATCCTTTGTACCCTAATATTGCAACACGGTGCTATTGCACAGATTTTAAGATGAGAGAAAGAGATATAAAGATAGGGACGTAAGGAGAGAGGTAGAGAAGAACCATGTAAAAATAAGAAAATATTGCAGTATTTGTATAACTTACTAAAATGGTAATTGTTGCAATATTAGGGGAAGAGGAAATTATGTAAGTAGAATGGGCCTTCAAAAAAAAAAAGGTGGGTAGAATGTCATGAAATGGATTGAAACGGAAAGTGAATAGAGCTTCATGTAATTAAGTTAGTAGAACTATCATGACTTACCAATTACCAATGCAGAAAGAGACATACATTACTCAGATAGGAGATTCACTTACATTTTGCAACTTGCTGTCATCAGATAAGTTGATAACAGCATCAGCCTTACTGCATGCATGCTTCTTTTCCTTTATTGCAGCCTTGGCAGCATTTAGTGTTCTGAGGTACAGTCGTACAGAATTTCAAACAGGGATCATTGAAAGCTTCAATCTATATTAAAGGGCGAAAGAACCTCATTACCTGTGAAAGTTAGGGAAATAGCGGACAACTCTTGCTTGTCCTAGAATGATTGGAGTATGAGACCCAAAACCAGCATTAAACTCTTCACTGAAAGGCAAAGAAATTATTAGTTCTATATCCCGAAGGCATGAGCTGCATTCTACAATGGCAAATTGACAATTAAAAATTTCAATTTATGAATGAAAAGAAGAGCTCAAGTCTAAACTTAAGTTTTTCAGATTATTGTAAGATAATAAAATTCCTTAACTAGAGTGATTTCCATCGATCAATATAAATAAAGTTATAATTAGATATCAAATTATATTAGGTAACTACAATATACATAAAAATAATCTAAGATCTGCTAAGTTATTATTTTACACATATATTCTAGATCTAGTTAGAGAATATTCTGCATATGTTTTCTATCAGACCCTGTAGTTGGAACGGGAGAAAATCAGATGCTCAGACTGGATCTATGTCCAAATCAAGCACCAACCAGTGAAGGATACATAACCCATGATCAAAAGGAAAAGCAACGATTGTGCTGATGATGATGAGGGGGGAAGCAACAGGCTTACAGGCCACAATCTATGCAGAGAAGAAAAGGATGACACATGAGCTGGATGAGAAGGAGAAAGGCAATGCATGGGCTGCATATCAGGGCCAAATTGCGAATTTGAGGAGACGACACCAAAGAGTGTAGTGATTGTCTTACTTCTAGTAAAATAGGCTAGTTATATTGGATTTAAGACATGACATTGTTATCAATACTTTCATACTTCGTATATTTTCGATTTTTGCTATGACCTATTAGACTTTTTATAATTGTTCTAAAAGAGCATTAACCTTTAGCATCTAATGCATTTAGGTTTTAGGTTGTTAACTTATCTTGGAAAAGGAAAATTTGAAATTTCCCTCTCCCATCAAAGATTTTACTACTGACTCATGGATATTGTTAACAGATAAGCAGTGAGTTGAAGTGCATGGTGCACTCTGTTTATGGCTGCAAATGCAAGTTAATGCATATTACCTCAACTTGTTGATCCACACAACAGGATCACAAGGTTCTGAGATTTGTCTCCACTTTACAGCCAAGGAATACACATCTTGCCATGACATCATCACTCGGGCAGATGGCCTGTCTTCTAAAATGCCATGTGAAGTTGAAGTGTCTGATGAACTACTAGTACTGCAACAAGGACCACCCCTGTTCTGACTGGGCATATTTACAGTTTCCCTTTTCCGAGCTCTCCTGCCATGTTTACCAGTATTTTTACCAGTATTCTTCAATTCTGTCTGCAAAGCTCGCCAGGCCCTTGAAACTCTTTGGGCTATTTCAATAGCAGCCAATCCCGCCATACGATGCTAAGGATGATCAATACTTGTCAATACTTTACAAGGAAGAGCAAAGAGGGGTAAGATAGTACAAGAATAATAAAATAGAACCACCAAGTTCAACACAAGATCAATAATTCCTCATGCACTAGGAGGCCAATGTCTGTTATTCTACAACTAAAAGGTTCTGCTCTTCTGCTACATGCCAATAGATTACACTACAAGAAAATGCAGGAATGACAACTCATTGGGTCATCAAGCCTTTATTTTTGGAATAAGAGAAGGGGGTAGAGAATAGAGATAATGACTGGGCAACAGCAGTAAGTACCTTTCAAATCAGATAATACTTGTCAATCAAAACAAAATGTGATTAGAAGGTTGGAATTAGCACACGATAAATTAGGTAAAAAAATCCATAGTGAGAACAAAAAGTCCAATAATCTCTTGTAAAACAACAGAACTACAATAGAAGATTCACCTGACGCCTATTGGGCAAGAAGCCTGTAGCATTGTATTGAATCTTCTGTCCAATGAAATCTGCAGCATGAATAAGAGCAGTCTTCTGCTTTGTCATAGCCAAATCTTGCTTCCTGAGTTTACTTTTTTTCAGGGAGTCCCGCAATGTAGGTTGCCTATAGACCTTTTCACATACATCCTTGGGGTGCAATCTTTTGCACCAGTATTCCTGAGATTTATGATCACTTGATCAGTACCATATATTGCTATAATTGGATGGGACAACTTACAGGCTTTCAGGTCATTATTAATTCTTGTAAGAGCCTAATTCTTGTGGGGGAAACTAGCAATGCATACATTTCACGTTAGAACAATGAAATTTAATAATGTCCTGATTCTAAATGGTAGAACAATGTCACCAGTTGTCATAGGACATCAACAATGCATTAAGTCATCATAACTCACCCTAGACCAACACGTCAGTTATACACAAGAACAATGCAGTTACAATCACGATATCAGAGTTGCAAACAGACATGAAGGGTTAGTGGCCATCAGAACGATCAAGGGTAATCTAAGCCTTACTGTTTTGGATAACAAAAGACAACTCAACCCTTACGAGCTTCTGCAAATTATCACTTTATACTACTACTTCCTCCACATTTCTTTTTTATATTTTTTTTTTTGACTAAAATCGCAACAACCAAGGTTTAAAGCAATGGCTCATTGCATACCATGATAAGATAGTTAGACTTAATTAGGACATGAAGCGCCTTAGAGTTAGGAAGTTTCCATATTTCATAGAAAGAAAATTCTAAAAACATCTTATAATTTGTGTAAACAGTCTAACCACATAGAAGCATAAAAGTCGCAAGGAAGAATGCTATATATATTCACATAATTGGATATCATCTAGATAGAGAATGCTTATACTTCCTCTGTTCCCCTGATATTGCAATATGGGGATGGGACACGGATTTTAAGAAGCAGAGAGAGATAGAAAGGAATAAAGATAGGGACCCATATGATGAGGAGAGAGAAAGAGAGAAAACATGTGCAAATAAAGAAATGTTGCAATATTTGTGAAAACTTCTAAAATGGTAATTGTTGCAATATTTGTAGAACGGAGGAAGTATATTTTTAGCCTTATAAGATGACAATGCACAGGTTACACATTTGAAGTTAAATAAGCATAAATAGAGTTCAGAATTTAAAAATCTAAGAATGAGGGTAGTAGCTACTAGTTAGAAATAATTTTCTTATAAAAAATATTCTAAAATTTAGCAAAGATGCAAAGTATAACAGTAATATCACCTTAAAGAGGGGATCGATGTCACCATCAATGTCAAACCAGCAAAACTCACTGTTTAGTTTTGATGCTGTATACAGAGCCAGTTCCTTCTGCTTATAGACAAAACAGAGAAGGTTAAATTTTCAGAATAAGACATAATCAAAATTTAAGGAAGCAATGAAGTACATTAGGCATTTAAAATATACTGAAACAATTCCTGACTACTTTATCTAGTTATGAAGGCACATGAATCATACAAAAACATGCAACTCAATTCTCCTATAGGAAGTTCTTTTGCCTATTTAATAGAAAACAATTGCTCATCTCCTGTATTAAAGGAATAGGAAAAATTGAGAAGCAGTGAAACACAAAAGAAATTAAACTTTTCATAATTACACTCATTTTGAGCATCAATAGGAGGCAGATGGAGGCTATTGTTGCGCTTAAAACATTTTTCGGATGCCAGGAAAACCAGTATGATAATATTTACGGCCTAAAACATATATGCCAGTCCATTTTTCTTGATACTCCACCTCTTTCAAATTTCTATTTTTTTCTACTAATTTTTGTACCAAAAAAATTAAAAGACTAGGTCAATAAAAATGCAGTTCATAGTCTTCACACAAACTAGTGAGTAAAATAGATTCACAGTCTTTGAGGATATTACATCCAAAATTAGTATAAATACTTGCATAGGAAAAATGTAAGTTGGCAATATCCAAGTTTTTTCAACTATGACAATCACAATGGTACAGATGGAATGCATAGCGAGATAAAGCAATAGTTCATAGAAAACTGTTATAAGAATATCACCTGGTAAAATGCAAGGCACTGAAGCACAAATTTTTCCATAGAGTCTAATTCCAAATCTAAAGCAGCATCATAGTCTTTGACCTGGTTTCATAAGATTAATACTAAACAATATGAATACTACTCTTAGAAATAACATAAATGGTTGGTAGAAAATTGAGCTGAATCTCTATACCGCTTCTTTGAATTGTCCTAGGGCATGGTGACAGGATGCTCTTAAATACAGACACTCTACATTTGAGCTCTCGATATTCAGCGCCTTGGATATATCCTTTATGGAATTCCTGTTGGTAAGGAACTCCATCCATATGTCAATAAGTGGAAATGACAATTAGCAAAGAAGAACACAATAGTAATTACCCATGGCAGCTAGCAACAAACAAGCAGAAGAAAGTGTATTGCACATATGATGGATAATGATGTCACATTCTCGTTCAAATGGCCAGGATCCGATTCTTGGTTGTAGTTTTATAGGTTGGGTGTGTTTTTAAATTGTATTTTGCCAAAATAGACTTAAAAGGTTATAACCAGCAAAATGGGTACTTTTGCTGGTTGTATTAGGCAAATTTCCTTCTTTTTTGTTAAAACAATATACTTTCAACTAGTTTGCTATACAAAACAATTTCACTAGCTATGGAGTTTCAAGTACATATACTAGTATTGTTTGACTATATTTATTCATTTGACCATAGATTATACATGCCCAACTTGCATGTGTTGCGGAACCAGCTTTCATCCTACATATCTTAACCTTTAACACCCTGAAGCCTAAAATTAATTTAATTGGCAATATGGTCGTACCTGTGATCTCCCATTCCATGATGAAGCAATCCACGCAAGTAATATGCTTTTGCATACCTAATTTAGACCATTATACACAAAAATATTAATTAAGAGCTCAACAAAGAGGAATGCATGTTCAATTGAGATGGGACTAGTGCACAATCCGCATCATCAACCACATCAAGAAATGAATAGAGAAATATTCACAACATTACCCCACATCAATCTCTAGAGCTCGTGTAAGGCATTCAAAAGCCTTAGCTGTATTTGCCAAATCTTGATAAAGCTGCACACATGAAAAATTTGATCATTAAGCTGGTATTGACTAATTTGTTGATACTCCAGTAAATTTGTTTCTCTATGAAGACACAACATATATCTAGTTGAATAAGTCTTACAGGATTACAGCACAATCAAAGCAAGTAACATCAAACAAATTGATTTAAACTAAACGAGTAGCTATGAACTAATAGGCAATAGACATTGTACTGTCAAATCAAACAAAAGATAGGAGGACTTTTGCACTTGCACTTGCAGCTTCAATTAATACTAATAATGATTGGCGCTTCTTGAAAAGTGAAAGCTGAAATCACCAATCTAGTCAAGTATGTAGTGCACTCATACTGCAAACACGAAATTAAAAACATATATGTATAGATACTCCCTCCACCAAAAATTGTTTTAACACTTTTTCATCTGTTCTGAATCAGTTTTCGTATGTACACTTCTAGGTTTTTTTTTTTTTTTTTTTTTTTTTTTTGAAACAAATCAATTCATTAATCAAAAGTCATACGGCATCTACAAATGAAATCTAAATCAACAAATATATAAAATTGAATCAAATAAGGGTTTCCTTCATCAAAGCTACGATCGTTGAATAGATCTTGCACTGTGGTACATCTATTGCACACATTGCTGGAATATACAACCTTTTCGGAGAAACGATCTAACGTTTTGTTGTAGCCGTAAGGATGTTTTCATCTGATTCACTTAAACGCCTTTGAAGATTTGACAACCGTTGCGATCCCGGACAACTCTCTACCAATGAATTGATAATAGGGCAAAAGATGATGACCCTTTTAATAAACCCTAACACATGAAAAAGCCCTAAACAAAAACAATCAACAAAACTAACAAAAACTAACAACTCCACCATAGGAAGACGGACGAATATCTACACTACTCGTGTAGATTTATTGATAACTAAATTGCAAAACTAAAGAAAATTAAGGGAAAATTTCGGAAGAAATTAGACTATTTCCGGCCTAAACGGCCAAGAATTCAGAGAAACCCTAGAAGAGAGGAGGAGAGAAGAGGAGAGGCGAGGCAAGATGTACACTTCTAGTTTGGGGTAGAACCCACTATAATTTATAACTCTCTCCGTCTTTCTTTCTCCACTACTAAACAATCAGGGCTCTGTACTCTCTTTGTTAGAATAAAAAGTACACCTCAATATCTCCCGTCACATCTATCTTTTCAATAAGATAACAATAGATAACCAAACAATTTATCACCTAAAATTATACCCATTATAAGTGCAAAGACTATTTTGATATACTGAGAAACAAAAAGATAGTAACTGATTTCTGTTTTAAAGTCAATTCTAAAAAGGTGAACATTCAAGACGGGAACTAATCAGTTATGATGATTTACCAAATTACAGACAACGGAACTCAGCTTGAGGACCAAATTCACGACAGAAGAATGTGAGAAGAAAGAGGGAAGTTGATACACAGTACCTGAGTTAGATGAGTCCAAGCCTCAAGAAATTCACGGTCAAATTGGAGTGCTTTCATATGCGACTCCTCTGCTCTCTTGTACTCACCAATTGATGATAAGGACAGACCCTAATGATATGATACTTAAGCCAGTCACCAAGAGGAGGAAGAAGACAGACATGTATACAATTTCTTGTGATCCAACATCCACATTATGAAATGAGAAACTCACCAAATAAGTGTATGCAGATTTATTGCCCTTATCAAGCTTGACACACGTAGAAAGGTCTTTCACAGCTGAACCAAAATCCTTAAACTTGAAATTAACAATACCTGGACAGAAAATGTAAATATATATCAGAAACTTCCTACCAGAAACAGTGCTGGGTTTTTACTCTAAGCATTGATGAGTGCAACAAGTGCATTTCAAAAAAATAAATCATCATATGAAGATTAAAAAAAAAATAAAAAAATCTCTTATTATAAATATTCATGTGCTTCAATTGTACAGTAATTTCTAGTTCTTCAAGAGCTAAACCTCCAACCAAAAAGAACCTTCAAGAGAAACGTCTTCCTAAAAAAATATTTAAAAAGACTCAGCTAGAACTTAGGAACTGGCAGTTTAGCATCTAGTCAAGACTGGTAGCCATGATGGAACTTGATGGAAAAGACAAATAGAAAATTAAGAAGGCCAAGGTTTGAACTCTTAACCCTTAACCTCATAGCCAGATTGTACTCACTCTACCTACTGTGATTTTCATAGCAGGAACTATCTCAGCATTATTTCACATAATAATTGGTAAACTGTGACACTTCATCAGAATTCAATTGCTTGGATAAGGGTTTAAAGCAACAGCCAAGTTGAAAAATTAAAAACCCATAGAAAGTGGTCCGTTAAAACATCATCTTCCATATTAACCATTGTTTCTAGGCAACGCAACACAAGGCCAAGCAAAAGCAATGCAACAAAAGGCCAAGGCCAGGCCAGGCAAGGCAAGGCATCCTAAGAAATAATAACGAGTGATGGGCCAACATGAATGAGATGGATTTAGACACCAAGTAAGCCTCTCAAGGCCTTTTCCAAGCCTTTTGGGAAGATGCTAATCCTTGCCGAGTCCGAAAATGTTGTCTATAGGCTAAATTTGAAGGCTACAAGAAACGAAATCGGACTTTTTCATATATTTAAGGCCCGACATCAAAAAATCAAGTGATGGTAAGGGATGCATCACATGGTCATATAAAATAGTTTGGAACCATATACAACCACTAGTCGGTCACATAAAAGCCTGTGGTGGCCTTGAATCGATGAAGGGAGGTGTGTACATAACCGACTAAATTGATAGGATACAGGCAAAGTAGATGATTCCAACCACCCAAATGACTTTCTGGGGTCTCGTGAGGTCCATAGGAAGCATTTCATCCTCTTTCTTTTCTGGATCGGAAAAGTAAAAAAATTATCCAAAATTGAAGGCTATAATCCACGCTTTTGAACCAATTTCGGGATTTTTTTCTAAAATTAAAGTAAATGTAGAAGGTGGCCCCCGGGGTCATAAAAGTAAGTTAGGAATCATAACAAGTCTACAATCAAGTCTATAAAGTTCCAAAAATGAGGTTGGTTTAATTATATGGCTATTTCGAATTTTGTTATAAGGGTATTCAAGAGTTGCAAGAGACAATTCCAATGACCAACTTGGCATCCCGATGTTTTGTTAAAGTGTTCGGAAACCCATTGGGAATATTACTATTGTTGGTGCATGCATGAGTTGTTCATATTGGTGTTAGTGTGTTACACAAGCCATTACCATTATTGATTTTGGTTGTTTACAATTATTCATAATTTTATAGTGAAGCCTTTGTTTGTGAAAGTATCCATGAATGGAGCCTCATCATGGTTGACTAGAATTATCATTATTGATTAAAAATCATCACTTATTTTTCTTCATATTTTCCATTTACCCTTAATTATTCCCTATCCCTATTTTATCAAATAAATTACGTAAAAATAAATTTCATAAATACAAGCATGTAAACAATGTCTCTTATCACCAACACAAAAAATGCCTTCCTTGAATCACATTGCACCATTCTTGGCTCATAACAAGCCCTGAACCGAACCCCAAAAATGAGCACCATATGACCCCAACAAACTCCCAAAGTGTCGTATACCATCCCAATATATTTCCCCTTTTTTGCCCTATTTTTCACCTTAACTAAAACAATTCAAAAAATTTAAAAAAATAAAAAATAAAAAACAACGGTGATAATACATATGTTGGACTCCTGCAAAATAATTTTTTTCTGACAGTTAAATCAAAGGGTGTTTTTATCACATTTTTACAAGTTTTGAGCCATAATTATATGATTGTCAATTGGGCATTCACTGGGAATACAAGCTAAACCCTTAGATAACATGACAACAGAATGATAAATTGAAACCCAAAATGACAGGCAATAGAATATCCAATATGAAAACTGAGAAAGGCAGGCAATGGAAAATAATGAAGGGATCGTAGTTATGGGAAAGATATGAAAGGGAGGGAAAGGAAAGAAAAGATAAAGAGACAAACATTAAATGCATTGAATAAATCTCAACTTACCCCTCTCATGCAGTATGTCAGCAGAATTGGGCTCAAACTCCAATGCCTTGGACAAGTCATCAATAGCCTGGATTATATATTTGGTGAGTAAGATTTATAATAGCAATCTAACTTTAAGCAGTTTGTATATTTAGCCTGCAGGATAATTCACTCAGACAGAGGACACTTGGAAACAATTGCAAGGAAGTGCTCGTAAGAGTCTTAACAACAGTTGACTCTCTGGAAGTTGTATGGAATTTATCTAAATCTCATATGCATACCACCTTGCAAAAGTATTATTTTTATAAAAAGAAAAGGGAAAAAATGAAACTTTCGCAATCAAGATTTAAAAATAAAAAATAATAAATAAAAAAATGCAACCATCAATGGAATTGCATGGCATGCCAAGCATCAGCCATTAACAGAAAAGAGCCTTAGAGTCCACACTGGTCAAGGGCATACCAAGAAAGACTTAGTGACCAAAAATCTGATAAAAAGAAAAGTATTACAGAAAAACAATTATTTCCCAAAGGAAAGGCTTTCAAATCACAAGATAGCTGGAAAGCACATATGCAAGTAGACTTTTGTTCTTTTGTGCACCCATAACACCAAAATCCTAGAGCATAACCTTAGAAATACCAACATAGTAAGGACAAATATTATGATCTTCAAAAGAGAACAAAAGGTCCAATGACTCTTGTTTACAAGTGTGTAAAGCATTGGAGGAAAGAATTGATGGATGAAAGCCTATTAACTAGTTATGCAAGAAAAAATGACATTAACAATAAAGATGGTAGACCTATGAAGCGTCTAAGGACTTTAACAAGCTTTTGAAAGAAAATAGAAATCTTAATTCCAGGACATGAACATGAATCACAAAGTGAACTACTGACTTGTTTGCATATGCTACTATTCTTTATTCAGCTATTTATACTAAAGCTATAGTGCAAAATTCATAGTAAGGCCAATTTTTCCACTCCTACAGTTTTCACTTGTGCAAGTCATGACATTTTTAGTGTTACTAAATTTTCTTCATTGTAGATCTTAAGCCTTGTAGCAATTACTAGATCATCCGATATCTAGTCATTCACAATGAAAATTGCATATACTCTATCATGCACCTAGGCGTACCTAGAGTTAGGTGCACCCATGGGTATATATTTTTTCCTTATTTGACGATTATTGCTCATTTGAAGTTTTTGAAATGTGCACAATTTATCATATGAGCAAAAAATATCCTTGGGTGCATTTTATACTAGGTTCACCCAGGTGCATGCAAGTATTTCACCAAAATAGCCAAGAATGTGAAGCAACTAGAACAGGATCAATTTTTGGAACTTGATCATACAAAATTATTGAATCTGTGTAAGGAAATATCAATCCTTCATATCATAAGGTAAGCAATTTTGATCACCTAAAGATTATAAACAAAAAAAAATAAAAAAATTTAAAAAAATAAATAAATAAATTAATCCCATTATTCAACTTCAAAAAAAGTGTTAAAAAAATCATCACAACAATTTCGATGATTCCTAATCCTTTGTCTCATATTAATGTGTATCTAATCACAATCAAATGGAAACTGATGTCCTGAACTTCTTCTGGGGTGGGTGGGTGGATGGGGGAGAGGAGGTAACATAAAGAAATAAATTGGAGCCATACTATCAGGGTATAAAATACAGAAAGCATCATACAGCAGATCAGTGCAATCTTACCCCAGCAGAGTCTCCTAAAGCAGCTCGAGCTTGTCCTCTACGTTTCCATGCCTCGCCAGCAGACGGGTTTGTTTCTATAGCCTAAACAGAAGTATATTATAGCTCATGTCAGAAAGACATTAAAGGTTCACAGAGCACAGTAATCTATTTTATACCTTAGTAAAATCCGCAATTGCTGCATCAAGTTCTCGTTGGAAAGCATATGCTGTCCCTCTTCCTATCAACGCCTCAGGGTAGTTTGGATCCTCTTTCAGTATCTGCAGAAGGGGAAAAAGTCAAATATTAAGATGATTCGGACAAAACTACAACAGGTATAGCCCCTTTCTGAGGGAAATTACAGAAGTGATAAAGGCAAAAGAGATAATGTCTTACCTGGTCAAAAATTGATATCGCATATGTGTATCTTCCCTCATTAACCTGCAAGATTTTTGATTTAATGCTGATGAGTGAAGTCCATATTAATTGATGAAAGCATGATTAGAAGTCAGTATAATAGATATATTTGGAGATATTCATAAAATTTATTTTTCCCCAATGCAATGTGCTCAGAAAAGTAATATTTCCTCCGTTTCTCAATACATGCAACAAGCTGACATTTAATGTATAATAAAGTCAACTTATTGCACGTATTAAGAAACGAAGAAAATATATTTCTGTTACCCTTGCAGTGAAAATTCACATAGAGAAATTGTCAAAGGCTGTAGCTTCCTCCTTACATAGTGAGATTAGAAAATAAGGCAACGAAGGGAGATAAAAGCATCACATAGGATTAGACTGCAGTATGACTAAGTGAGAGAGAGGTAGAAATTTGATAGTTTTCTTAGTCATATTGCGATCTAGTCCTATAGATTTGGTGTGTGTGTGACCATTTTAGAACTACTCTAATCACTTATTCCCTGCTTTTTAAGTCATTAGATATTTGATGGTTAGAAGACATATTGCCATCTAATCCTAAGTTCCTCCATACCTTGCTTGGACCTAATCCAATAAATTTGATGTGTGTGTACCACTAATGAGTTACAAATTAGAGTTATACACACACATACAAATTACTCTGAAGTCTAGAAAGACAAAGGAGAGCTTCCTCAGATCTAATACTATAAATTTCACGTGTGTGTAACCACTAATGAGTTACAAATAATAGTTACACAGACACATACAAACTACTCTAAAAAGGCCAAAAGGACAAGGGAGAATAATAGGGAACAACGATCACTCTTAAGCTAAGCCATAAGTTGGCCATCAAGTTTAGCTAAAGTTTTTAATGTACTACTTTCAATTTAATGCAGTGTGATTGTCATTGACTCATTGTTGAAAATCTCACATACACATCTATCACATATCCAACTCACATCAAATAAATAAATTATCACCAAACCACCCGTATATAATGTGTAACTCACTTGTGGCAGTTATTAATAAGTACAGATATGGCCCGTAAATAAGGTATGGAAATCAAGCATGAACCAAACGCATTTAAAAAATTACAACTTTTTTGAGACAAACAGCGCAGAAACGATGACAATCACATTGGAAAAAGAGAGAGTGAGAATATACTAGAGATAGAAATGATCCTATTACTGCTCAAACATCAAAACCATTAAGCAGCAAATCATCAGTTCAGTGGGGCATGGTCCTATGATAACTACAAACAAATGGAGGGATAAAAAACATACCTCTGCTATCCCTCTTGACAACCGAAAATCTAGGCTTATAGATTTCGTTTTTGAAATTCGAGCAACACAAACTTTCTGGTTCTTCTTGACAATGTCGCTACGCTCAAATTCTTCAGAATTCTTACAATTCAACTTAATTGAAACCTTAGAAGTAGTACTTTTATTGCGCGGTTCCTCACTAGGTTTGTTGAGGGATTCCAACTCACTACTCAATTTTTTGTAAGTACCGTTCGGTTTGCTTTCAAATTTCTTTGCTTCCTTCATTTTCTCCACTGTCCCATTTTTCCCATGAGACTCGGGAACCAATTTGCTTTGCACCTCAGACATATGGTCAGATTCACTGCTCTTTTCAGAGTCATCTCTCAACTTATTAGGGTCCTTAGCAGGTTCACATATACCATTTCCTTCCGACACTGACAATGGTGCAGATGACCCATTACTATGCTCTTCTTGATTATTTCCATTTGCATTTTCCTTTTCAAGAAGTTCTTCTAATTCTAGTAATTGTTTCAAATCTGTTGACTGATTAACAGCAATGCCATAGCCTTGCTTCCAGACTAACACAGCATTATCTTTCCTTCCCAAGGCAGAACAAGCATGACCTACAATTTAAAAATCATCAAATTTTTTTATTTTATGATGTTTACACATTCAGTTCAGACCATCGGAGATACCATATACAACAATGAGTGCATCAGTGAAGAGTTAAGGCAGTAAGAGTATAACAGGTTATTAGAGTCACCAAGATCCTGCTCATTGGAAACTTTTGGAGGAATTAAGCCTTTGATACATAGTTTGTGATGAAGAATCCATGCAGATGAACACGTAATTGATGAGGGTTTTTTTCATTTTCGTGACAGCCTCTCAGAAATATGGTCTTTGACACATAGTTTGGGGTGATTACAGTTCTACATAGCAGCTAAATTAACTAGTGTGTGATTTCTAAGAAGGCGTTAAAATGTAATACCCTTATTACACTTAAATGATACTGCTTCCACAATTTGTGATCAATGCAAACTTGGGGACTTAGGTCACAACTCACAAGGGGTACACAATTTTTTTCATGTACTGTAGGAAGGAATGAGCCTGCCCACATAACAAAAAAAATACCTTGTGCTGAGTAGGGAGGAATGAGTATGCCCACAGGGCCACATAAACTCAATCAACAAAAAAAATACCTACAGCAGACGAGTGCAGATTACATGGGTAACTAACCCCCTCAAGCACTGCAATTTATAGTATTAGATTGTTCCGTTAGTATGTTAGCTTATCTTAAGTCACTAGCCTCAAGAATTAAATTCGACACAATTATTGCGCTTTAATTGATCATAAGCTACTCCTACTAATTAATTTCTTAATAACACAAATTTAAGCAGCACCAAATTATACTCGATTATTCATTCCCTGAACAGTATTTCACGTAATTAAATTCAATAAATTAAAAAAAAATCCAAATAATTTTAAAAACTCAGCGACGAATTCATTTCAAAATTCCCAAACCACTCCAAAAAAAAAATAAAATTGAGTAACGTTACAAATGAATTTATAAGCTGACCTTTAAGAATGTAAGCTTGAAGAAGACAAGGATCAAGCTCAAGCGCACGATCGCAATCCTTAATCACATGCTTATGGAGCTCCAATTGACTGTAACAAAACGCTCGATTGCTGGTTTCAATCAACACCAAAAAAATCGGAGAAAATTCAATTCGTTAGAAATCAATCAAACAAAATTGATCAATTAAACAAAATCCATGACAAAAGAAATGCAAATCGAGAGAAAAAATCCAAATGAAGAACACGACAAAAAATTGAAAAATCGAGAAAAAGAAAATTAAAATGAAGAAGATAAAAAAGAAATACCAGAGGTCTTGAATGGTGGAAGAACGAGCAAGGAGAGAATCAAGAATGCGAATAGCCTTAGACCAGTTCCGAGAGCTACAGAGCTTCGCAAGCTCCACTCTCTCGGAGTTTCCCGACGCCATTGACGATTGCTTGATGAGAGAGAAACAGATAATTTTCTCTCACTTCATAGCAGCATATATATATATATATAAATCAATTTACAAAAATGGAAGTAAAAATAATTGGACAGAAAATTAGCGTGGTTATATTTATTACGAGTACAAAAAAATAAAATAAATGAATAATAAAGCCGGAAAAATAAAAATAAAAATAAAGTGAGTTGCAGTGGGTAAGGAAGGGACCAAGTGAGATTGTGGGAAATGAGAATGGTTTGAGACTTCGAGTCTTTGTCTCTGTGAGGCGTGGCGTCAATTTTTAGGTTTTTTAATTTTTATTTTTCTAATTTTATCCATTTTTACTTTGCTATTTTTTGAGTGGGCCTGGTGGACTGAATCTAAGATAATAGGCCCATCACATCAGCATTTTGTAACGCGTTAAAGGTGGGCCCGTAGTAATATAGACGACTTTTCTTTTTTGAAACACAAGATAGACGAATTTGATGAAATAAAGAGTACGGAATTTCGTAGGAGATTTTGGTAGTTGTACTTGTACACTATCCTATAATATAGTTCGAATTTTGTGTTATTTTTTTGGCCGCCTCACCCTTAATATGTTGTTCTTATATATCTCAAATTATACTCTTAAAATAAAAAAAGGGATATATTTCGTAATTTCTTCACCTGATAATGATATAAACAAACTTTATTTCCTCCTTTTCATACCACAAAATTAATGTTGACTTTGTGATTCATTGGAAGAGAGGCCTTCTCCGTGAGTAAAGGTTTTTTTTTTCTTTTTTATTTGAACGGGGAGTAAAGGTATTTTTAAGACTATTAGATTTTGTAGAAAAATTTAGACATGGCCATATATTTGAAAAAAGAAATGAAATGATTTTCTTTTTTATCATCAATATAAAAATTATGATAAGTCAAAAGCTAACAACCAACTCGGGCGTTGGTTTAGAGGATCAAAAATAAAAATATTAATTATTAAAAATAAAAATTTACACCAATCGATGCATGATCTTGATATACATTCCCAAATTAATAGTAAATATATTATATAGTTATCTAACGCCCCTTCATTAGCAAGATCCATTTTTTAAATCTCTAAGTATTTTTCAAAAATAGTGGTACGTAGACGGAACATTGCCAATTTTCTTCGGAAAGTTGGTTATTTCAACTGTCCTTTACTTTAATTCATGTTTATGTTATTAGTTTTAATAAAACAACCCTTGAGTGCAGTAAGTGCCTCTATATTGAGCTTTGTTCAATTTCAGTTTTTATGAGTTCAATGTTATACAAGTTGTTTCATACTTTCATGGGATAAATATTTATGCATGTACAAAAAAAGAAATTAATCCTACAAGGCTATAATTACGATTAGTTGAAAAAACTTTGCCGAAAAAGATTATAAATTACAATGATATAAAAAAAAATATAAATAATGTACAATTTGCAACATCAATATGTCACATGCGTCATCACTATGTGGGAAGTAAAATTTAAAGTGTGACATTTCAAAATTTCATCAACCAAATAATACCACAATTTATCTTTTCACTTCCTATGAAGTAGTATTTGATTTTTCATGCCAACCAAACAATCACTATCATTTTAACAATCAGACTTGTCAGCATTGACAATCAAACTAGTCATCATAGACAATCAAACTAGATGACTAATGTAAAATTTTACAAGTAATCTAGCAAATCATTAATACTACAGTATTTTTTAAATCCCCAGCTATTCACGTATTGGAGTAGCCTCCCTTTATGCCCTTAAAAGCATTTTAGTCTACTCAATTACAGTGTGAGAACTTAATCTTTCATATAGATGAACTGTGGAGAAAGGTATCAGTACCCTGTTTCTTCAATACATTATTCACTTTATTCCAAGGGCAAACTTCACAATGCAAATACACACCAAAATTCTCATATATTGCCCCGACAATCCTACAGATCACGATAAAATGGCAATGAAGCTTCTCTGCATAATCTGCCAGTAAAAAAACTACTCATACAATTTATACATAATACTGTATATGCAGATTATTCCAAAACTGGAGCAAACTACAAATAACTCAGACCAATTGATTTAAAAAATATTTTAGACGAAATCAGAAACAAATGTAAAAATAGCAAAAAAGCATTGCTTTTTAGTACCAAGCAAAATGCAGCACCAGAGTAAAGGCCTGACGGGTACACAATTCCAGCATCCAACAGTAATAATACAATTATTACGGATTAATGTATTATTGTCAAAAAGGCAGCCAATGGAACTTTGAAATGAAAACAAAACTACAATTTGAAAGCATACATCAACATAATTATCAAGTCATAGCCGTCCTATTAGCAGCCAATAAGCAATATTGCCTCATCATTCTTTCTTCCCAATTCCATGAGACATGTTATAGATCCCTTTACCCTGAAGGAAAAAAGTGAAAAGTAACGCAGAACCAAAAGTGAGAACTGAGGACATGAAGCAAAGAAGTTCTCTTAAAACAAAAATGAAAATAATAAGAATTTAAAAAAAAAAAAACAACTTACAATCAGGAATAATGATGTAGCCGCAAGAGCAATAGGAATTGCAACAGAGGTGACCTTGTCGAGGGGTCCTTTTAGATATGTATGCTTCTGGACGCTTTGGAAATACTTTTGCCTCTCAAGAATCTTCTCCCTTGGGACAAATGGAGCCTCTTGCTCTGCCATCCTGTTTGCCAATAAGAGGTAAAAAAATTCAGCAAGAGCCTCTCGAGAAGTCAACCAAGTGCAAGGCAATTAGCCAATGACTGGTGCATAGCAAAAAATGACCAAACCAGATCCAGAGGCCTTAACAAGAAGAAAGATAGGAGTAAAAAAAATCAAGACTAGCCAACCACAGACAACAGTCATGCCCTTCACTTTTGTAAAAGGTATTGATACAATTTCCGATGTTCAAACAAGAAAATACTATTGGTCTACATTTAACAGAATAACATAAACTAGTAAATAATCACATATACTAAGCAAGCTCTAGACCCTTATATTTTTAAATAAAAAGAGAAAGAAAAGGTATCCAGAAACTTGTAAATAATCACAACAATTTAGCAAGCCCTCTATACCCTTGATTTTTCAAGCTAACAAGAGAAAGAAAACCAATCCATGAAAGCAGAATCTGCCCCCTCCAATATATCATTATACATCAATGCTAAAAAATCAACTCGACATCAAACTTCAAAATCTTATTCTTTCTCAAGTCGCAACAAGTAATAAAATGTGGAAAACAAGATATGCCAATTGGCAATCAGGACAAAAATTATTTTCCTCTGCATCGTGAACAATCATACCAACCCATACACTCACGGTGACAAACACTGAAATTGAAGATATACTTGGCCACCAACAATCCAGGAACACAGGATAATGATAACTATTAATCAACAATTAATTTACAGCATCAACACTAATAAGTGAGCAAGATGATAGACCCAGAAGGGAAAGTTAAATGGAGAACATAGCAAGGCAATTGATGGGCCAAACATTGCGGTACAGGCGAGCAGGAAAGCACCATAGATAGAACCATGATGTGAAAGTAAAGGAATACTAGAGGAATGGTTGAATGCCTCAACTTGAGGCATCTCATACCTATGCATAAACACTAACATCAATCGTCGTTCTCAAGCTAACATTAATCATGTTTCTCATACTAATATCAATAATTGTTCTCAAACTAACATTAATCATAACATCTTTTCATGGCTGCAAGGAAACTAAGCTCACGCAAATTACAACAACAAAAAGTCAATTTCAAATTTGCAATATTCACGCAAGTTAAACTTTTTTTTGATCAGATCAGATAAGTTAATGAATACAACGACAAGAGATAGATCTTGAATACGTTGACAATTACACAATAACATTTGCAAGATAATCAAAATTATAAAAAAATAATAATCGAAATAAAATTTGAAATCGAAAAATTTACTTGAGATGGTAGGATAATTTAACAGCCCCGTCTCTGAGGCAGGGCAGGAGGGGCGGCCGCCCGGAAAAGAGATCTAATTTCATATTCAATTATCTCGAGAAACACATAATTTAAGGGATATTTGATTCAATAATCAAATTAGGCTCATGATTTTAGGGAAAATTGATTCAATCATCAAATTTTGGTTATGATGTTTCATAATCTTAGAATTTAGTACCAATAGTTCAGAATTTTCGAACCCTAAACTTAATGCACTGATAATTAAATTAGATTAGATCAAATATAAACCCTAGATTGTGAAATTGATATGATGATAACAAAAACAAACAACTTACCTCAGAAGCTGCTTCAATGGGGGATACAAGAATTAGATTCAACGGAGAACGTGAACTGCGCTTCAATGGAGAACGTTGAGTGCGTCAATGAAATAACTGAGAGAGGTTAGGATTGGAGGCCTTGGAGTTGGAGCCCTGTTAAAAGCCATGACCCGCAACAGTTAAAAATGGGTTAGATCCGTCTAATAAATAAATTGGGCGGGTTTTTATATGATCGCCTAATTATAAGACAAAGCGGACCTTATGAGGGTTTTAAATAAACCTATTTTAAAAATTACTCCGTATTAGTTTTCCTTTATCCTTCCATTTCTCAAATTTTACTTTCACACACAAAAGCTTGTATCAATTCATTGTAAGTTTTTTTTGGATATTTTTATTTTGAAAAAGGCTAAAATTACACTAATTAAATTGAGCTTACAACAAACCAAAGGAAAGTAAAGTAACACAAATTACTATAGGCATAAGAAAGCCCTTACACTACACCAACTGGTCATTAACAACATTTACCTTAAAGCTATTACAACAAGTGCGGACAAAATACCCCGCATTTTAATACGCTTTATAAATTAATTTATTATTTTATAAACGTATTTTATTATTTTAAAAAAAGGATTTTGTAGCATTTATTTCTATTTAAATGTGTAAAAGTTGAATTTAAATTAAAACCCATCAATTATTTTATTAAAATAATTTTGGAAACATTTTATTTTATATTTAAACATTCGATAAATTTTATAGGTACACTATTCTACATTATTTTATTTATTTTAATCCACCTAATATAAGAATTCTATTCATATAAGTAAACTAATTAAAACAAATTGATGCTTATATAAATCCTCTAACCTCACTTTGCTCAACGACAATTATTAACATTCAATTTCTGCACACGCACACGCACTCATTGACGCTCAATTTCTATGCATGCGGCTTTAATTTTCATTAGCAGGTGTTAATTTTTTTAGTGGATACCAAAACCATTCTTAGTTGACATGTTTGTGAATTATATTCATGATTATTAATTATTTATCATAGATCTAATCATAGTTCTTTAATCCATTTAGAATTTTCACCATAATTCGATCCAATGGCTACTGAAAATGGTGAAAGGTATGACTACTAGATAAAGATGATCCAAAAAATCCCTAGATTTAAGTTTTGAACTGGGAGATATGAATTAATCAAGCAACGATGCCAATTTTTCAACTCACAGGTTTTTATAGATTTACACTTGTATCACATTTCAATGTCAGTTTATAATTATCATTATATACAACAATTTACAACACTCAGTACCATATATAATTGAATAATAAGAGGGATTATCAAGAGTTATATACTAGACTTCTTAAAATCATCAAATGTTCAGGATTCCCGAATAATACCCTAAAACTTAAGGTTGGTGCCCCAGTTATGCTACTTGGAAATATAGATCAACCTAATAATCTTTGTAATGGAACCAGATAAAAGATTACTCAATTGAATAATCATATAACAAAGGCAAAAATAATATCGAGAAACAACATTGGACATAAGGTATTTATTCCTCAGTTCGCATGCTCCTAACTCCAACATATTAGATACAAAATTGTCGTTCAAGTTTCAACGAAGACAATATCCATAAATCGTTTGTTTTGCAATGACTAACAAAAGTCATTGACAACCTCTTTCACATGTGGGTATATATCTTTTAAGACCAGTCTTTAGTTACGGTTAATTAAATGTCGCGATTTCAAAAAATTATAAAGAAAAGTGGACCGAATGTTTTGGTATGTGATAAAGAAGGTCAAACATTTAATACTACCCACAATGTAGTGTACAAAGATGTATTTTAAAATTAAGCACAATGAGGTACTATCTAATTTTGTAAATAATGTTTTAGATTTTTATTATTTTAATTTAAAAATTATTTTATTGCACTATTAGGGTTTTTTTTTCTTTTTTTTTCTATTTTATTTTGCGTTGCTAATACGCTTATGTGCTACGTAGACCATTTTCATTACGCCACATCATCTATATATTCAACCTCTCATCGTGCCATGTCATCCAACATCCTCTTTAATCATGTCATATTACTCCATATACAAACATAAGGTCAATGAGATTCGAATTCCTAACCTCTTATAAGAAAGATGATTGTTTAACCATCTAAGCTAATTATCAACAATGCAATAAACTTGAAAAATGTATACAATTGCCAATCGCAAGGTCTAATTAAAAAAGGTAAGAAAAGACACCATAAATATTTGAACATACAACTTTTAGCTCTATAAAAAATGTCTTGCCACCAAGCTATAATATTAATATGTAGTGAATGTAAATATGAATATTAAATTGGATTAATACCGTTTTTTAATCCCAACTTTCACCAATTTGTTTTTATTAATCCCAACTATGGATTATTCCTCAATAATCCCAACTTTAAAGTGGGTTATCATTCTTCATACTCAAACCGGTCAACAAAAGTCAACAACCTTCTATTGTAGGTTACTGGACACGTGTCGCCGCGTGAGTGGTCCTTTTTTTTTTTAAAAGAAAAAAAACAGAAATATTTTTTGGATTGGTCTAAAAATTAAAAAAAAAATAAAAATTACTGAACCGATTTTTTATAAAAAAAAAGAAAAACAACAAAAAAATTTTTTGGATTGGTCTAAGAATTAAAAAAAAAAACCAAAAAACTAAACATCCAGCCACGCAGCCACCGGTGGTGGCCCTTCTCCCCTGCCAGCCTCCCGCCGTCGGATTTTGCCACCAACCAACTCTAACATCTAAAATCGGTCCCCCCTACCTCAACCACACCTTGGAAACCGCCACCGCCCTTCTAATGCCGCCACGATACCTTTTCCGATTCGATTTTCCGCAAACCACAACCAAAACTCCGTTTAAACCTTCCAACCATTCAAAACACCCTCGAAACCCCTCCCCTACTCCCGAAAACCCCCAACAGCCACTTCTTCACCGTCGAAAATCCTAGCCGCTAGGGTTTCGAGGTAACCGGAGTAGTGGTTGGAAGTTTTCGAAAAGGCGAAGGGGTTTTATTGGCGATTCGTAGAGGTTTCGGGGGTGGTTGGTGGTTTCAGGGTGAGGGGGAGGGGAAAGGTGGTTGGCGCGGCGCTCCGGCTGGGGGCCAGGCAGGGGGTTGAGCTAGTGGGGTTGAGCTAGTGGGGCTGCGTGGAAGGTGGTTGGGCTGGATGGATTTTTTTTTTTGTTTTTTTTTTTATTATTTTTTTCATATATTTTTAACCAATTAATTTGTGACACGTGTCATTTTAACAAAAAAAATAAAATTAACCCATTTAACCGGTAACCGGTTTTTGGGATTGAAGAATGATAACCCACCTTGAAGTTGGGATTATTGAGAAATAATCCAAAGTTGGGATTAATAAAAATAAATTGGTGAAAGTTGGGATTAAAAAACGGTATTAATCCTATTAAATTTAATTATATTAAAAAAAATTGAGTCCTAAATTAAAATGTATTCTAATATAATGATCAATGTAATTACCCAGAGCATTGCAGAGCCCAAATACTAGTTTATTTATAGTAAATTGTATTATCTATAAGATATTTTTCGTCTATCCCACACATACTTATTCACCCTAGTAAATTTTGTAAATAATAGTGCTCCAGTCACTTAGGGGTCGTTTGGTTCGTTAAATTAGAATGAATTGGTATGGAATCTCATATTAGGGAGGTGTGGATTCTAAACCCCATATTTTTCTAAACTTGTTTGGTTTATTCTTTGGAAAGGTTTTTTTCAATTCACTAAAGGAATGGATTATGAATTTTGTAAGGTGTGTATGGGATTATAGGGAAATAGGGTGGAACTAGAACCCCTTGGTATGAGATTTCATAACTAAATTTGCCTAACCAAACAACAAAATAGACGGAATGGATTTTAACTCAATTCCTAAAAGTCCAACCCAACAGTCTCTTAGTGCTCTTAACAAATGAGTTCATCGTCTTCATTTTTGGTTCTCATGGTTTTACCTTGTGATCCTGAAACTTATTTCCTCATCAAGGGGGTATCCCTATTCCAGTCTGTATCAAAAGGGGAAATCTACTTCCCTTATAATTAAGGTTGAACTCCTTGGTATTGATGAGGAAAAATATCGACATTAATGATGAAGCTATATATGGCGCTATCTGTTTTTGGCGAAAGGAATAAAAATGAGGAAGCCATCAACATGAACAACAAACTTGCTGAGTTTTCAGTGGGAAAATTATGCCGTAAGTTTCATCTCATCGAAAAACTTCAGATATACGAAAGTGAATCTTCTAAGGAACATGGCATCCTCACCATCTCCTTCTCCATGGAAAATGGCGAAAATGATTTAGACCCATTATTTGGAGATAATGATCAACTATTTGGTCAAGGATGTACTACGAGATCACGATCGCTTATTTAATCAAAAATTGGTTCCCGACATAACTCGTGAACAACTCGATGAAGAAGTTGAGGGACAAGTGTTAAGCATTTCCGGCGAGAAGAAAGTCGATAACCAATGGCGAATTTAGCATTTTTTATAAGTGGGTTCAAATCAACATAATCATGGGATATTCTATTTGGTGGTCTCGTGGTTTTAAAAATTCTACATGGAATACAAACTTTTTTTGAACTCTCTTTAGAGACACTGTGGTTTAACATAATTAATTTCAGTGGCCTAATTATTATTAAATGGGCTAACCAGAAACAAAATGGTTCACTTTTTTACCACATTACATAAAAAGACTAACCTACCCCTGAATTAATTAATTCCCACCTCCTTTTCCTTAAATGGTGACTAACCTACCCCTGAATTAATTAATTCCCACCTCCTTTTCCTTAAAATAATAAAATTACTTTTATTATTAATATTATAAATATAAAAAAAATAAAAAAAACCCACCACCATCGCCACCACCTTCACCACCATTCCATCTCCCCCTCGCCTTCACACACGCAGCTCCCCTCTCCTACAGTACAGAAACCGGACGGCCGGCGTCCAACTCACCCACCGCCGCCAACACTCCCTGTTACCCCGACCTCCCCTTACCCGTCGCGCCACTCATCCAAACGAAACCCTTACCCGCGAAAACCAACCACTGCAGCCCCGATTCCACCACTTCTCGACCACCGCAGCCCCGAAACCACCCCCTCCCCTGTTTTCCGGCCACGGTAAACCCAATTCCCTCACCTAAAACCACCAAAAATCCATTTAACCCAAAAAATCCGAAATCCTAGGAAACAAATTTTCTGGGTTAAACCCGAAGCCCAAAAAGGGGCTACAGTGGTGGCGTTAATTACTGCCTAGTGGTGCGTGTGGGAGCAGGATGCGTGGTGCTGGTTGCTGTGGTGGTGCGTCTAGGAACAGCGAAGGGAGATGCGGGGGTGGTCGGTGCTGCTCTTGTTGGTTAGGCGGTGATGGCAGGGGAGTGAAGAAAACAGGGGAGGGGGAGAGGTGGTGGTGGCAGGGTGGTGGGTGGATTTAAGGAAAAGGAGGTGGGAATTAATTAATTCAGGGATAAGTTAGTCTTTTTATGTAGTGTGGTAAAAAAGTAAACCATTTTGTTTTTGGTTAGCCCATTTAATGATAATTAGGCCACTGAAATCAATTATGTTAAACCACAGTGTCACTAAAGAGAGTCCAAAAAAAGTTCGTCTTCCATGTAGAATTTTTAAAACCACGAAGCCACCAAATAGAATATCCCTAAAATAAATGATATTAAATTTTTTTTTGGTAATTATACAAAAAAATGATTATTGTTAAGGGTTTTTAATACATGTAATTAAACGGTTCAACATGACATGACACATTTAATTAAAACAGATCAATATTGAGAATCTCTAACACTACATTAACCCGACTCAACCCATCTAATATAAAAACCCTACAATTTATATAATTATTGATATATTATATAGAATAAGGCTAATTAATATTTTTCATACAACATGATACGAACCAGACACGTAAAAAGTGAGTTAGTGTTAAATGTATTCAACATTTGTAATCAATCAGATTAACACGTCCTCAACTTGTTTAATTTTCGACACAAATACGACACGACATGATTGCCAGCCCTAGCTACATATAGTGCTTGTTTGGTTGCGTTGGAAATTAAATTATGATGGTAATATATATTTCTTAAGAAATAATTTCTTTCATATATTTTATTTCATAAGAATTTGATAAACTTGTTTGGTTGACCTAAGATAATTTGCATTTTATGTAAATTGTGAATGACTTAGGGTAAGTTAGGTATAGAGTAATTACCATTACAAAAAAAAAGGTGTGAAGTAATTAACTTCCTATGAATCTATGATAGGTAGGACCTCAAAATTTCCAAAAAGTTACCATTAGCCTATTTGTACGGAGTATATATCATGCTAAACAAGCAACAAGGGATCTAAGCATTTTATAGGAATTTCTATTGCCTATGTTAAACAAGTACAACCAAACAAGCTCATATCATTTTCATCATTTTCTTAAATTTGTTTCTTTTTTTAAAAAAAATAAAAAAAAGTCGAACTGTTAAAATAGTACTGGTACTTTGTAATAGAGAACATTAAAATTTTTGAAATATTCTTTTTTTTGAAGAAACTTCGAAATATGCTTATTTCATTTTGCCAACGTAGGAATTGCATATGGTAAATTCAATCGTAAGGTCTTTATAAAATTATTTGGTTATCGACGTGAAAAGTAATTTTTCATAAAAATTTCTATCTACCTAAAGGATTAGGTAATTGAATTCCTACCTATTGTAATTTTTTTTACTTATGTCATTTCCCCTTTTTTTTTAATCAAACAACTCCCCCTAATTACAATTTAAGGAATTTCTATTTCTCAATTTTTTTTATGTCAACCAAACATCGCTTACAAAACGAAAAACTAATACCCCATACTATGTACTCTGCGGTTAAATTAAAAGGTTAATGTACAACAAATAAATGGAGAATCCATCCTTTCTCCTCTCTATTTGCGGGTCTAGCCTCTATATGTAGGGACCAATCTGGAGATTGGGTCTCAAAGATAGTCTTCCACATCTGTTGTTGTGTTAACCCACTACAAGCTGAAATTCTTGCAATTTTATCGGCTTTTTTCTTAATTAAACAAAAATGATGAACCCATGTCACAATTTACTAATTTAGTCAGATTGTCACAATTAGAGCAAGATCGACTATGATTCTATCTAGAATTTGTAACCTCCCAAATTAGAAACTTTTGAATGCTTGTTATGTACTACGTAATAAACAGAAGTTCTACTTAATCTGATGCTGAAACTGGAAACAACATTGTTTTAACTGCTCTAATGGCATGTATATCTAATTTGCTGTATGTTTAATATAGTAATTTGATAATCACCATCTAGTTCGACACTGGTCAAGTACCAAGCACTGACTTAGAGCATTTCATTAATTTAAGTCAAGTTCTGTGAAGGATAGAAGACCTTGGGGAAAGAACCCATACAAACTTTCTCGGAGCAATTACTAGTGTCCCACCTAGCCACTAAATGGGCAACCGTATTATTAATTATATGCTCTTTTTACATGAGAAAACATACAAGCATTAAAAGACATAACTATTCTACGTACATCATCGTAAATAAGCCTTATAGGAGACCATCCAGCAGCAGACCCTCTAATGGTGTTGATTACCCTCAATGCGTCCCCTACTCCCTTTTGACTCATGATCATACACTTTCGTAACCCAATCTCTTAGCCATTTGACACCCTAACAGCAGCCACCTCCGCCAATTCCACATTCCAGTCCATAGGAGTCTTATTATCCGCAGCCCATAATATGCGGCCAAAGTGATCCCTCGCAACAGCACCTGGACCACCACTTGTGCCAGCACCAAAGTGAGCGTCAACATTTATTTTAATAATACCCTCAGGTGGGCAGCTCCATGTAACAGCATAATGTAGCATCTTTTTCAAGTGGGTATTGAATACTCTAGTCTCATACAGCGAGTAATCACAAACAAGCTTCAAAAAACTAGCAGCAATAATACCCATATTCAGCGATATTCCTTCAAACAGGAGCTTATTTCTGCAAACCAAATAATAGACCAAGTTGTAGCCAAGATGGTACAGTAATAAAATAATCAAACACAAGATCAACAAATAAAGTTCATTAAAAGACCAACTATATCTATCTATTAATCAATTAAACCAACTCAAAATAATAACAAACAACCAAACTATCTTCATTAAAATTGCTACTCCATAATTTCCAAATTTCATTCAGCATTACTCACAGTTTTAGCACAAACCCACAAATTTTTTTTTGTTTTTTTTTTAAAAAAAAAAAAAAAACCCATAATAAACTTAATAAAGTACAGGAGAAAAGTCACAATTAAAATAATAGTAAAATTGAATTGATTTTTTAGATAACAAAAAGGCCACTTAAATTTGAGGGAAAGAAAAGGAGAAAACATGTCTCACAATTTAAGGTGTTGTATTTCTTGCTTTCATATTCACTGTCCTTGTTCCGTCTTTTTCTTAGACGTTGTTGCAGCTCCTCCTGATCGCGCCCACGGGTCAGCCACCGTTGCTTTGTCCTCTTTCCATTGTTGTGGTTGTCGATGATGTGTTGCTGTCGAGACATAAAATTAAAAGAATTTGAGGATGATCAGATTAAAGATTTTTCTACAACACTCAATACCCATGGTGTTATAACTTTCAATATTTTCTACAACACTCAAATACCCATCAAGGGTTTATTTTCATAACGTTTTGTATCCTATGTTAGTATGTTACTACCTTAAATTGCCAAGAAGTATAGTTTACCAGATCAAATCTTTTTTATCAAAGAGACATCATATCACAGTGTTGGTGATCCAACAAGCAAAGATGAAATTCAAAATTCAAACCGATCATTTAAAAAACGTACCAAAATTCAGAAAACCAAAGTAAAATTACAGAAAGAAACTGTCAAAAGGCCGTATAAGATCGAAACAAAGGGAAAAAAAGTAAGACAAATAAATAGGAAACAGTTAAATACGATTGATTGCAGAAGAACATACCTGATTTGGGTTTGATATCTTCAAAGGTAACACCAAATTGTACCCAATCAAGGTCTATACAGCTCAATTTCTGTATCAAATTCGAAAAAAAAAGATCAACAAACATGCATACAAAGCAAAAACTCCAGTGAACCATAAAAATACTATAACAAATTGAATAAAAAAAAACCGCCTTTCTGTCGCAGCCAACGTAAGGGGTGGTCCAAACAACCATCGTAGGGAGGCGTTCTCTAGGATGACTGGATGAGTGACTACCCTAAAAACTTCGAACTTTCTCTGAGGAGAGAGAGAGAGAGATTGAAGGAGAAAGGTGAGGGCTGACCAGCTGAGGAGTAAGAAAGAGTTCAAGGGTAATAAAGCTGAGAACATTTCATTTCTGTAATAGAAACCACGAACACTGTTCCTAAGCACAGTCCAGCAAGTTTTGCCTTTTATACTCTCTTCCTCACCCACCCCCACCCCCTCCCCTCTGCTACCCCTTCCTCTCCCTCCTTCCCCCCTTTTCCTTCGGATGTAAGATATTTACACTAATTAATAATTACAAGTATATAAGTGGTAGTACTTTATATATAAAGGTTCAATATAGACATCTCAAAACAATTCTGAATTTACCTTAACCACAAAATACATTCATATTTTTGTCTCTGTGATTGTCCGCCGTGCCTCTAAGAATAGTCAGGCCTCAGGCCCAAGCTTTCTAATAGCTTCAGCTATCTCCAAATTCCAGAAAATGATTACAATCCTCACACCTGTAGTCTGTAGATACAAATAAGAAAACTATAAGGCAAAAGATGTTGCTTCAATTCTTTCTTTAACAATTTTTGAAATAATAAGATCAGCACAATGTGATAGTCTCTCTCACTGCATTTCATTGACTGAAAAAAAAAATTGCTAGTCTGGCTAAAAAGTAAACATCATCTTGAGATGGAGGTTACCAAAAAAAATGTTGATCACATTTTATATATACATCTTGAGTAGAAACTTCAAGGTGTATGAGGTTGGTGAGCAAGGGACATCGACAGCAATTACGAGTTGCTGGAATTGTTGCAGCTCCACTACCATGTATACCCCAGAATCTCAGAATTTTTATTTTTTTCGATTGATTGAATTTCATTTTGAGGTCTGTATAAAGAGTATACCTAATTTGCTCAAAATTCCAAACAAACCTGATAAACCATCTAGGATATTGATCTTCAAATCTAAGTCCAATAAGAATCCTAATTAGATTCATGATTAAACACTATATTGAGGTATTACTATTCTATGAATAAAAAAGCAAACATCTTAATTAATGAGTTTGAGCAAAGACCCAGGAAAGAAAAAGGCATAATTTTTCAGAAATGAGAATTTTTACATCTTATTTAAGCACATCAAAATTGAAACAGAGAAAATACATTACAAGTTAATGAGCTTAATCTATATTATAAGTGGAGAAAATATGTTATAGACTTGTTACCCACCTCCACCAAGCCACCATTGTGGGTGTACACAAGGAAGTAAAGTGGAAGAGGGGACAAGAATCAACCACAGCAGTTGGCAACCGCTACTCTTCAGCACATGAAGACAAGGGACATTAAGGAAACACTTAAGAAAGTGGCAACATGGGTGTGATTTATGAATTGCTAATGTGCAGAAGAAGACAAACACCAATTAATGTTAGGTTAACCTTTTGTAATTGGTAGCTTGAGTATATAAGTAGTAGTAAGAAGCCAGTAGAAATTATGTGAATTGTGAGGAAAATTGTTGAGAGAATGGTAACCTCAAGTTACTAAGAGAGTAATACCCTAATATTATCAAAGAGAGTGATGACCTAGAGCTATTAACCTATCCCTTTGTAACGTTATTAGCCATTATTAATCAAATTTTAAGCTTTCATCTTTATTTATTAGCCTTGTTAAATCAGAAATAGAAGCCTGATGATTTAGTCTATAACAAAATCAAGAGAATTGGGATCGAATTGGATCAGAAAGAACCTTAGCTTGTCAGTCATACTTTCACCACTTCCTGCAATCAAATCAAACAAAGAGCTTAGTTCAATTCAATATTAATAAAGCTAGTGTTAGAAAAATAAATAAATAAATAAATAAATAAGGCAGAGAGAAATTATGGCCAATAAACATAAAATTAAGATAAGCATAATTTTTAAAAAATCCAAAGCTTTTTAATATGTTAGCTACACAATTTATCACGCTCGATTTTTCGGGTTTTTTCTTTCCTTTTCTTTTTTTTGAGATGAAACACTCGACTTCAAAAACCATTTCTCCTGTTCACTGCAACCAGTGTTAGGGGAAGAGAGAGACAAAGAGGGAAGAAGAAAAGGTAACTCACAAAAGTACAACCATGGTACTTCAAACATGTCAGCTTTGGTGTGCTCTTGGAGACAACTTGAAACAGACAAGAGAGCTTTCTTTACAGTTGAAAATTTCCTGCCATATAAATTTCAGGAAAAGAGTTAATAATAATGTAGAAAAGGCAATTACTCTGATTTATGAAGAAAAGGGATAGATGGAACAAGTATACTATTAAAACAGAGCTATGAAAAATCATGGACAAGTGACATTTTAGGCTTATATATGTCTTGTGTCATCCAATGCACAGCACTTCTTGATCTTAAACACTATTCCTAGAAAGCAGCAAAAAAAAGACATCAAGGAAATCTACTTTGACATTGATCAAAATAGATCATAGTCTCCTCTTCATACTAAGACCCAAATAACTATTTTCAGATGGACAGCATATATAGGGGTGAGCAAAGACCCAGGGTACCCGGTACCGGACCCGGAACCGGTTAGGATCCGCCGGGTCCGGACCCGGAACTGGTCCCACCGGTTCCGGGACCGGGTCCAAAATGTCGGACCCGGTTGTAACCGGTTCCGGGACCGGGTCCTAAAATTTCGGACCCGGTACCCACTGGGTACCCGGTTTAAACCAATTCCAGTTCCGGGTACCCGGTCCCGGATCCAGACAATCCGGGTACCCGGAACCGGAACCGAACAAAACCGAACCAAACTGAATTATAAGCCCAATCTGGCCCAAAACTAAATACCCTAGGTATATAATGAAAAAATAAAAAAACCCTAATTCCTCTAATCCTCTCACTACCTCTCACGCTCTCAGCCTTTCTCCACTCTTTCGTCCTCCCTCGTCTGACTGTCTCCTCTGAGTCTCCGACCACCGTCCAGTACACCAGGACACCAGGCGACCACCGTCAACGGTCCACCTGCTTCTCTCTCTCCTGTCTTCTCCTACTAATTAAGGTATGAAATATGCAATTTGCGAATTCAATTTGCGATTTTAATCGTTTCTCTACTTACTTGCTCTCTCCTGTCTTCTCCTACTAAAGTACTAAATACTAATCGTTGCTACTGCATGTTCAATTGTGAATTGCGATTTTAATTTGCGATTTTAACTTGCGATTTTACTTGCTACATTTTAATTTGTGAAGAATATGGCAATTGGTGATGCTAAAATTGATGAAGTGGTCGAAATACTTGAGTGATTGCTCTGTGCTGCTACTGCTGTGTTGATCTGCTGCTACTGGCCTACTGTTTTGATGTTCTGCTGGCTGCTGCTACTGTTCTGCTGTTCTGTTGCTACTGTTCTGCTGTTCTGTTGCTACTGCTTTGCTGCCTGCTGGATTGATCTATTCTGCTGGCTGCTGCTATTGTTCTGCTGTTCTGCTGGCTGTAATGTTGCTGAATGTTGATCATGTTATGTTTAACTTAAGTAGTTCTGTTAAAACTTGTTTAATTTGAGTTTGTATGGATTGATTGGTTTGATTTGATACTTTGTTAGTTTGTTATTTAAACTGAAAACTTAAGTTTGTATGATTTGGATTGGTTTGTAGACTTTGTACTTTGTATGAATTGGACTAAATTTGTTTGCTGTTATATTTGTTAATTTGCACTGCTTGCTGTGTTAGTGAGAATAGTGACTTAGTGTGTTGATTAATGAGGCCCAATTTGCAGATTAATGAGAATAGTACTTTGTGTAATGTTTATGTCTTATTAAAGTTTAATTTGTTCCTATTTCAGAACTATGAGCAATACCGACAATTCGTCAGTCCCTATGGATGATGAAAGTGAGGTTGGAAACGAGAATGCAACAACCAAATCAACCAAGGTTGGTGACAAGAGGAAGTCTGAATACTGGAACCATTTTTGGGATTTTAGAGATCCAGTAACCAAAAAAATTGTTCAAGTCAAATGCAAATATTGTGAGAAAATGCTAACAGGTAATACTAATAATGGAACTTCTTCATTAAAGAAACACCTTGGTGCATGTTCAAAATACCCTCCAAATGTAGACAAAAAGCAAAAACTCATTTCTGTTTACAAGTCTCCTGAATCTGATGCTACTATAGTCTCTAATTGGAAATTTGATGAAACTGCTTGTAGACTTGGTTTGGCAAGAATGGTTATTGTTGATGAACAACCATTTTCTATTGTTGAGCGTGAAGGTTTTAGGTATTTTTGTAGTGTTGCTGTACCTCAATTTCATATACCTTCACGTTTTACAGTTGCAAGAGATGTGAAGAATATATTTGTTTGTGAAAGTGGAAAATTAAAGAAATTAATTGGGTGTTTGAAATCGAGAGTGTCACTAACAACTGATTGTTGGACCTCCATTCAAAATTTTAATTATCTTTGTTTGACTGCTCATTTTATTGATGATAATTGGAAGTTGCATAAAAGAATTTTAAATTTTCAATTAATGGATAGTCATAAAGGTAAGGAAATTGGAAAAGTTGTGGAGGCATGTATTCTTAAATGGGAGATTGAGGATCGATTGTTTTCTTTAACTGTTGATAATGCTAGTTCAAATGATGTGGCGGTTGGATATTTGAAAACACATTTTCATGATAAACTTGTTTTGGAGGGTTCATTTTTTCATATGAGATGTGCTTGTCATGTTCTAAATTTGATTGTGAAAGATGGTTTATCTAGTGTGAAGTCTTCGATTGCTCGAATTCGTGCTGCTGTTAGATATGTGAGGAGTTCACCTTCTAGAGCTAAATTGTTTGCACACTCTTCTATGTTGGTTAAAGTTTCTTGTAAAGGTTCAGTTTGTCTTGATGTGGCAACTAGATGGAATTCTACCTTTCTCATGCTTGAAACCGCATTGAAATTTGAAAAAAGCTTTTAATAGGTTTGCGGAAGATGATCCTGATTTTAGTAGGGAACTCAAGGATGGAGTACCTACACAAGAAGATTGGGTAAATGCTAAAGTGTTGTCTTTGTGTTTGAAATTATTTTATGAGTCTACAAAGAAAATGTCGGGTAGTTTATATGTTACTACAAACTTGTATTTTCACGAGGTTTTGGAGGTGTTAAGTTGTTTGATAGAATGGGAAAACTCTACAAATATGGATATTCGTATTATGGGTAGACAAATGAGGGAAAAGTTTGATAAGTATTATGGGGATCTCGGTAAAACTAATATCATGATGTTAGTTGCGGTTGTTTTAGATCCTCGATATAAGCTTAGGTTTTTGAAGTATTCTTTTAAAAAACTTTATCCTAACGACTTTGCCAAAGTCGATGTTATTTGTGACAATTTGTATGACAATGTTCAGAAGTTATTTAACCATTATGATGCTATTATTGCTTCTTCCTCTTCCAAGAATAATCGTAATATTAATGTTGCCAATGTGGATAATGGTTCTGAAAACTTGAGCTCTTCAAATAGTGAGCAAATGAAAAAGTTTTATGATGATTTTGATGAGGAAGAAAGTGATTTTATTGTTGAAAAAAGTGAATTGGATTATTATCTTGAAGAAGCTCGGGAGAGAAGGGTTGAAGGGGAAATGTTTGATATTTTGGGTTGGTGGAAAGAAAAAAGTGACAAATACAAAGTATTGTCAACATTGGCTAAGGACATTTTGGCTATACCAATTTCTACGGTTTCTAGTGAATCCGCATTTAGTACATCGGGTCGCATACTTGATCAATTTCGTAGTAGTTTGGGGCCAAATATGGTGGAAGCTTTAGTTTGTACTCAAGATTGGTTAAGGGCGTCAAATGTATGCATTGATATTGAGCGCTTCCTTGAGGATGTTCAAAAATATGAAGAAGGTAATACACTAATACTTCTATTATTTTGTATATTTATCTATTTTATTTCTCTAAGTTTATTACTTATATTGTTTACTGTTTTTTTTAGAATTGGATGGTAGTGACACTGGCATCACACAAGTTAATGAATTTGTTGGAAATAATTGATGTGACAAAGGTTTGTATAATTGTATTCTTAATTATATTGTATGAAAAGATATCAAATGACAAATATTCTAAGGACATTTTGGCTTTTGTTTATAGGGAATTTGTGCTTCCTTGTTGGCTGCTGCCTCTTTGCTTTGTTGTCTGCTGTATGCTGTCTTTCTCCGTTGCTTAGATGGTTGCTGACTTGCTGCTGGTCTTGTTGCTGGCTGATGGTGTGCTCAGCTGCTGCCTGCTGATGGTGTGCTCAGCTGCTGCCTGTTGCTGCCCTTCCTTTTCTTCCCTTTTTTTTTCTGAACTTTTATTTAAGTAGTTGTTTTGGTTATGTTTGGATGTTTGGACTTTGCAGCATTGTTGAAGTTTGTTGTACTGATATTTTAGGTTGTTGAATTGGTACTTTTTGGCTTATTAGTTTGTAATATTTGTATTTTGAAATATTTGTATTTTGCTAGCCTCCAAAACTAATTTAGGGATATTATTATGTTAATATAACTAGCCTGCAAAATTCCATTATATATAATAATATATTATATAACAATTATAAAGAAAAAAACAGTATTTTACTACGTTGAATAATACCGGGTACCCGGTCTTGGAACCGGTTCCTACCGGGTCCGGGACCAGTTCCAAAAAATTTGGATCCGGTATTAACCGGTTCCGGGACCAGTTCCAATTCTTGGGACCCGGTTATAACCGGTTCCGGATCCGGGTATTACAAATATGACCGGGTACCCGGTCTTGCTCACCCCTAAGCATATATACATTGGTGTGGAAATATGTAGTACATTCTATGCATATTACCAAATTCTTAAAAATGCAGAGTAAAGACATGAGATACAATCACTATAACTGGTAATGAAGTGGATTTCTCTAAGTCAGTTTAAGCAATACCATACCACCGACTTCTAGAATCAGCTTTCAGTTTCTGTACCTCTTATCTCTGATTGGACAAATCCACATCCCAGTACAAAGCAGAAAATAAAGCCAGTAGTTCATAAAAGGCAAGAGTTCCTTAGTCATGAGTCCTCATGAGTCATGACAATAGCATCATCAATCTCTAAAGTCCAAAAATTATGGAATATATTCTTAATTTGCAACACCGGTAGTAGAAGCAATAGTAATATGTTAATCTCATGCTCCGAATGTTAATCCTGCCATCCTTAAAGGCATTATAATGCTTTTCTTTTAACATCCAAGAATCAACACATTTCTTGAGCCCTACGACTCCTACATTCACACATAAAAAGAAGATGAAGTATAAAACAAAATGAGGCTAAGGATGATAGTAATTCATATCGAATCATCAAACAGACAAAAAGATGAGAAACAAATAAGAATTAAAAATAAAAATCAAAGAAAAGAACTAGATCTCATCTTCCTAAACTTTTTCACAAGCTGCCCTTTCACCCAAAGACCTAAGATGGGGACAATCCGATGTCGGGATCCTCAC